GTAACAACAGATCCTGATTACAACCCTCTCTCTTCCATTTAAAGCAGTTATGTGGAGAATCACTCTATGCCTATCATGTTGCTTGCGTTGAGAATTCGGTTGGTCGGAGAGCACATTTAGTGATGACTTTAAGAATCTTCTGGAATCAACAGACTCAAAGCTGGCACTTGCCCTCTTTCATATCAATGTATCCTCCACATATGAACATGTGGCATGCAATGTGTACTATCATCTCTCATAGTGAGCCATGTTCTTTGTTGGCCGCTTGCTAAACAATCGCTTGTGTTATAGCGGGGAAAGACACCACTTCACTATGCCAGTGAGCTTGGTCATATCGGCTGCATAGGACATCTACTGGCCAGCAAAGCCAATCCAAACCAACTTGACGAGGTAAGTTGCGTCTCATGAAGGATTAGCAAACAAAACTGTGAAATTGCTACCCTGTGCTGCAATGGTCTTAACCACTGCACAATTCTCCACAGAAACACTGGGATGTGAAGGGGAGCTATGAGATGAACTAATTCATTTTTGCTGATCCAAACCTTTTTTAAGAGAGCATGTCTGAGAAAACCACGCTCAAATTTTGCAAGTAAGTTTCCTTTGGGGTCTACAACAACCATGCAAAAGGACTCGTTCCGTAACTGACGGACACCTTGGAACTGGGGACCACTCGAAATGGGCCCAAAATACGACTGAATATTGGGTCCAAAAACATGCGCTGGTAAAGCGTACATGATTGAGCTGAGAACAAACCACCACCATGCCAACATTAGCTCACCTGAGTAGTCTTCACATCACCACCACATAGAGCCATGGCTACATCCAGGAAAGCAATGGCCATCATCTCCAAATATCACTAAATTCCATCGCCAAAATAGCCAAATTTCAAGGGCCATAGCGGGAACCATTTACGACGTCTATTTTTCTGAACCATACATTGCAGGACAGTGGACTACCTCCACTACCACCCAGGCCATGTCTCGTAAAAAGGGTTCCACGTTTTCCGGGAATAAACAAATTTGAATATTTTCACTTCACCACATTGCAACTCTGCCAACTTCCTACCCCACGACGGAAAGCGCCTCCTCAAGCTCCAACACCTGGCACCGCTCCAGACGCCAGCACACCGAACACTGCAGCGTGGTCACCTCTACCGAGTCTGACAAGAAATTTGAACTGACAACCCTTGTCACTCCAAATAACAACCATTTTCTTCCCTGAACGACTCGAATTTCACTAGCAGCAAAGCTTAAAAAGCTCTGCAACAGTGCAAAAAATATTGAACAAATCTCGATTTGTGCAATCGAAGCACGATATTTTTGCGTCCTGAAACTGGCCGTGCGCCGACCACCGCGCGACATAGCAGATCTACGGATTTGATCGAGTTGATCGACAATCAAGATCAGAATCAAAATCTGGATGACGAAGGCTGATTACAGTGATCAGCAACACGATTTTTGCGTACATTTACCCGAGTTGCCGGAGTGCGCAGCACGCAGCGAGGTGTGGTTTTCCTCAGGTTCGGTGAGGAGCAAGCGTAAGTCTGCTTGTTGTAATTTTCATGTCGAGCAACTATTTGTCTCTAAAAGGTCGACACTCAGTGACAATGTAGGGCTGGTTGACCACGCAGAGTTTGGTCTCAGCGCGACTTCATCGACCTGGCAAGGAGGATATTTTGAAATTCAGCTCGTAATGAGAATTTTATTTCTAGGCTGGACTCGGATGACTATACTCAAAACACCAGTAATGTGTTGAGCCCATCACGTTATCTGGTTGCAGGAATATAGATCAGGTGGGAATGGAGACATTATGTCGATAGAACTCAACAGTGCCCTCTTTGTCGAGCTATGTCGCTCCGGCAACATATGTCATCCATACAATTCTACAAAACTGGTTGCCGTTCGTGGCCCTTGGGGTAGGTGAAGATGAACTGGGCGGCTGGGATCTTCCACGATCTTGGCGAAAGCACTTCCAATTGCCTCAGCTAAGCGGTGCCGATTTTCTTTGTTTCCCCGTCAACTGATTGATGATTCGCCAGGTTTGTTTTACATTACAAGTTGCAAGCTGAAATGTTGTACTGTAGTACGCTTCTTTCAGCTTCCGGTTACAGGTAGTGGCCTCTCTTCTCGCCGCTTTGAATGTGGCGTACACTTTATCAGATCTGTCTGACAGCCACTTTCTATGAAGCCGGTTGCGCTTACTCAACAGGTACAAGAGCTGGCTGTCCATCCACGGTATCGATCGTCGCTTGTGTTGCTGACAAGATCGAAGAGGGGCATGAGTGTCAAGCACCTGCAGGAAGGGATTATTCCACTCTGTCCACATGTCTGCTGGGCTGCCTTAAGTGCTGCAAATATTCTGCTGAATCAAGTCAGCTTTGAAGCATTCATGATTTATCCTGCGGTACTTCCAGCACACCATTGATGTCTCGGGACTCCTTGTCGGGTCAAGGTAGAATTCACTTATGACTGCTGCATGGTCGCTGAAAGCCACGGGATGGATCGTTGCCACATTGTGCTGGTCAAACCTATTGACGAACAGATCCAATGTGGTGGCTATAGAATTAGATGCAAACCATGTCCGCTGATGAACACCCTAGTGGAGACTGTAGCTTGCCGTTAGATCAGACAGGAAATGGAGCTGATGATCTGGAGCCGTTGATGGATCCACATTCACATTTAAGTCACCGCACAGTATAACGTTCCTCCTCGGAATGATAGCTGAGTGTAGTAGACCATCAAGGCGATCCCAGTAGCCAATAGGTTCAGAGGGAGGACGATGGATTGTGCCTATCAAGCAACTCCCACCAGTGCAAGGAATCTCGCCCCAACAACTCTCAACCCTAGCAGCAGCTATATTGCATCTCGGCTTGAGAGGCAAGGATGTTCGGGAATATAAGCAGACACCTCCACCAAGCTGATCCTCTCGATCAGCACGCAAAACGTTGTAACCTGCCAAAGTGATTTCTCCATCAGTAATCATACTATCCAGCCATGTCTCGTTCACACAGACAACATCAGGACAATGCTGGGTCATTAATCTTGTTTCGAAGGCTCCGGATGTTTATCAGTAGAACCTACAGCTTAGCGTCACAACTCAGTCCTCCTCTGTCTCTGAATGGTGCTTTCGGATGGCACAATCTACCCGGAAAGAAAGTTGGAGCCTGCGCATTCAGTTTCGAGGTGTTCATTGCGCCTCTGCCTGGTCGGACCTGAAGCGCCAGTCACGGAGAGTGTACGCAACTGTTTCAGGCCAGAAAGACATTTCACTAACCAGAACGCCCGTGATCGGCAGAGTCAGCGCCGGTCACAGAAAACGTCAGGACAGACATCAGGACATTTTTTGCCTAGCTCATCGTACATGTTACTAGAACTGATGGAAATGTTTTACGGACGGCCACTAATAGATTAATAGCCGAAAAACATCTAAATCCATCAAAGAACCGCCAACAAGCGGGAGAAAAGACCGTGTAATCAAGTGAAATAGCATGGCCAGCGGTGAGCATGGGTGACTGGGCAGCAGGGGAGCGCCTGAAGAACAATGACTCTCTACATTCCTAGCCGCGACCGCTCACCCG